TATGAAAGGCAAGTCTGCTTAATTTTTCCTTTTAGTCTCACAGGGCAAAGACATGTAGACTGCCAACATGCATGTTATTGCCGCAATCCTCTAGCCTACTCTCCAGTGAGTATTGAATGCAGAAATCATACTATTTGCCATCTACCATAAGTCAGAAGAAAAATAAAGGTATTCTTTATTGGTGTTATTTGTGTTTTTTTAGGATAATGCTTTCATGAAGGATGCCCTTGTGTTCCCTGCAGGAGACCATTATCTGTTATGTGTAAGATTTGATATTGTGTCGCTCATAAGAATATAGTAATTATTAAACTTTGTGGTTTGGAGGGATTGTTCTTTTATGCCGGTGTTACGGACGGTGACTTTACCCCAATATCATAAGGCAAAGATAATGCAAATATGAAATGGATCGTCATAACACTTTTATATGCATCCCTATAGGTACAGAAGCCACTCTGAAGAGAGATCCTTCTTCTAGTCTCTCTGTTTAGTAATCAAAACATTTTAATTATGAATCTGCCTGTTTATTGTCAGTAACTGGAGTTGTCGTATTGGGGGGTCAGCAAATTAGATTTTTTTCTTTCTTTTGAAAGGCAAGGCAGTGGCCAAAAGAACTCAAAGTGGCTTTATATTTCCAAGCATTCCTGCGAGTCAGCGCCTGTGCTGATATACACTGAAGATCAGGAGCAGATTGATGCAATGACCCTGGTGTTTCTCTTCTGTCTGCCAGTGGTACATCATACAGAGCGGTCTCCAGAGTGTTTGACACGCCTCGTTCCACTGTCCTACATCCAATACATTGTAAACATGTCTAAAATATGATCTGGCTAATCATCATCATTTTTGAAGCTGGCACTGTGTTTTATCCACCATTAGAGTTAATGTTAGATGTATAAGTATTCAATTTTTTGAGTAAAAACAAAAGATAAATGTATTTATATTTACATATCACAGTTTTTTCTGAAACTTTAAATTTTCACCTCACTATCACATTTTTACAGCAAAGCACAAGACAAATGCATGTAACACTAGAGAACTGCAAGCCATTACTCCGTGTACAACCTTCATATCATCTGTGCAATTTTAAACAAGTCAAAGTGTTTCTGAAACATACTCCTGTTTGTTTGTTTTTCACTGTTTTCACATGAGATCATGGTCACGTGATTGAGTGACAGACAGACAGTGAAGTGTCGCTCTCTACTGGAGATCAGCAGCATTACAGCTCAGAACATCACAGCAGAGTTTACCGTGAAATCAGTAAATGCAGTGAATTCCAGTCATTTTGACCAGCCTGAGGATTTTTACAGTATTATCCCATGTCCTTAGATGAATTATTAGCAATAATAAAGAGATGATTCGTCAAACATTATATATACATTTATTCATTTGGCAGATGCTTTTATCCAAAGTGACATACAGTTGAGGAAAACAACAAGTTATTCATCATAAGATGGCAATAAACACGAGAAGTGCCTATTATACAAGTTTTCAGTCATCGTTCAAAACAATTGCTAGGACAGGGAGATATTAATGATATATATATATATATATATATACACACATGTTGGGTTCTAATTAGGAAATTAGAACAATTATTGGAAGCATAATTATTGAATGCTGGCCATTTCTGAAGATTTGTTTAATTCAAGACTATAGAATATCAGTTGCACTAAATAAAATTGAAGCATTATAAATAAAGTGTTCATGAATGTATTGTACAATTATTTTAATATCAGCATAAAGTGACTCATTATCTGTTATTCACAACCGAGGGACAATGTTGACTGATGGATTTGGCATGTTTTATTAGCAGTGTGAATAAGATAAAATGTAACATACTAAACTTTTTAAGCAAACATTCTACAATCAAACTTATGCATTATACATTATAATACTGCATATATATATTAAAAAATTTGCCTTTTGTATGTTTTTTTTTTTTTTTAGTTATGCACCACTTTTTTTTTTTTTTTTTTTTTTTTTTTTAAATTAATTTTATCCACCATTAGAGTTAATGTTAGATGTATAAGTATTCAATTTTTTGAGTAAAAACAAAAGATAAATGTATTTATATTTACATATCACAGTTTTTTCTGAAACTTTAAATTTTCACCTCACTATCACATTTTTACAGCAAAGCACAAGACAAATGCATGTAACACTAGAGATCTGCAAGCCATTACTCCGTGTACAACCTTTTTTTTTTTTGCTTTTTTTTTTTTAAATTGAAATGAATATCAGTGATATATATCAGTCTATGCTCATCTATAAAACATCATGTTACACAACCGTATAAAAACCTTGATATTGTCTTGATTGCCTTTTTCATTTGGAAGGGATAATTAATTTCCTCAAAAGGTGTTTTTCAAAAACAGCGTCAGATAATTCAGAATGTTTCTCGTAATTGTCAGAAAATTTACTAACACAGTGTATATAAACTTTTATTTTACAACTATAATCTGTTCTGTATAGGGCAAATCACTCTCTCTGGGTTTGCTCGTGTGTGAGAAAAAGAGCTAATGAGAAAACTATAGCCTACTATTTTATAATGCACAGCGTAAACTGATGCGCTGCTTTAAATACAATGTAAAGAAAAGTTGTGTGATTAGTTACTACATTTATCAGTCACACAATAGAAGGCTTAAGAGAGAAAGCAGGACAAGTCATGTGGCTAGCCTTAATATTTAGGCTATATTTGTCATACAATATTACTTATAACTGATACAAAATGTTGTACAGACACATGCAACGAGATTTCTGGTGTACGAGCACTGCATCATCTCTACTAGAACCGCTTGCAATTTGCTTCTTTCAGTGTGTCTCTCATTAAAATCTATTGTTTTCAGCAGAGCTGCTTTACAGCTGAATCACATCCTGCAACATCCACACTTGATCTGAACTGAATCAACACTGAACTGACTTGATCTGAACTGAGTCAACACTGAACTGACTTGGTCTTTACTGAATCAACACTGAACTGAAGAGCTGCTTTACAGCTGAATCACATCCTGCAACATCCACACTTGATCTGAACTGAATCAACACTGAACTGACTTGATCTGAACTGAATCAACACTGAACTGACTTGATCTGAACTGAATCAACACTGAACTGACTTGATCTGAACTGAATCAACACTGAACTGACTTGATCGGAAAAAAGACTGCTGTCTTTTAGAGCTGCTTTACAGCAGAATCTGAACTGACTCTATAGTTTAGTCTCCATAAGTGATTCTGTTATTTGTTTTTTATTCGAAATACAAACCTGATGACACACAAACCTGTCAAATACACAGACTACGTCACTGCCTAGAGAACACTAGTGAGATCAGTTCAAAAAACTGCTTCAGGGAATCAGGAATCATTTTGCACGTCAGTGGCTATTACAGTGAAATTCAGCAATAAGCTCTAAGAAAAGTTCATTATCATTACACTACTGTAAAGTGATCTTACAGTAGATGAAAAGCACCAGAAGAGATTCAAATAGTATGGCAACGAACAGTTGTGAGTTTGAGGGTGTACAACATGTGCGGCAGTATTTACTGTACATAGAACAGTGAAGATTCTCTCATTGAAAGCACTGCTACTGTGTACTGTGATCATATTGTATGTGTACAGTAAGTATAGATACTCTGTAGATGAGGTCAGTTCCCTCATGCTCATTCATGCACAAGAACATGGTCAAATAGTGCTTTGTGTTTCATCAAGAACAAATTACCTTTTTTGCCTTCCTCTTTGTGTCACAGCACTAGGATTAATTTCCCCAAGCACACAATCACCTGTGCTCCTGTTCATATAACCCTGAGATTCTGACTTCTGTGTCATCAGTTTTAGCACTTCACGTTCACACATAGATAAGTGTGTGCTTTCCGAGTTCATTTTGTGATGCTTGAGGTAATTATATTGCGTGCTTGTGTTTTCTGAATGAGTGAAAACAGGTGAAATGTGCTAAAAGTTTGAGAAATGTGTCTTCGTTTTGAGAATGGAATGAATGGTTTGGAAAATTGGGTGAAAGTGTGTTAGCAATCGAGAAAAACTGTAAGATCAATGACCTCATGAGTGATTTTGACAAAATACACAGAGGAAAAACACTAAAATAAAGATGCACAATGAAATGAGACAAAAAAAAAGAAAATTTCAATCAAAAAGGTGATTGTGTAACACTGTGTCCATCATTCAAAAACACACACCTTGCATAAAACAAAACAAGAATACACTACCCATACACAGTCACACACAAAACCCACACTAACACTGTCCCATGACTTTATATCACTTTTCCTTTTAGCACTGTGAAGGGCTCACATGTCGATTTTTCCTATTTTGGGCATAAGATCAATGACCTCATGAGTGATTTTGACAAAATACACAGAGGAAAAACACTCAAATAAAGATGCACAATGAAATGAGACAAAAAAAAGAAAATTCTGCACAGACTACAAGGTGATTGTGTAACACTGTCTGTGTCCATCATTCAAAAACACACACCTTGCATAAAACAAAACAAGAATACACTACGCATATACAGTCACACAAAAAACCCACACTAACACTATCCCATGACTTTATATCACTTTTCCTTTTAGCACTGTGAAGGGCTCACATGTCGATTTTTCCTATTTTGGGCCGTCATGAACAATCATTTTTACATCAATTAAAAAGCTGCTCTGACACTCGAAACTCTTTGTGTGTCTCACAGCCCTCATCATCTGCGTCAAGGTCCCTCGTGAGGATGATCAGATACAGGAGTCCATGCATGGCATCAGAAACACTGGAAACCCCTGCTTTAATCAACAGGGCTGCTTTAATTAACCCTGAGCCAATCTAAACCCCAGTAAATGCAATCCTGGTTATCTTGCTTCAGACTTTCACACTCATCCTTTACCCAGGGTTAGCGGTTAATCCTGTGAATTCACAAAAACTGTGAACTCTACTCCAATTCATGTGACCTTTTCACTCAAGCGCTGAAATGACTTTTTCCCCGTGTTTACTGCCCGCAGTATCAGCCCAGATCCTCCTTAAGGAGCAGGTTTGAGTTTGGCTATAAATAGTGCTCTTCAGCTACTGTTAACTAGCATCTCTCTTCTTCTCACAGGTAAGAAACGTGTTTCTAAACATTTGATTCCATTTTTCATTATAACTTACTTTACTGAAGAGCTTTATATTATATTAAATGTTTTCATATGGATGACTGGATTATTTGTTATTTTATTGTTTGTCTCTATAATCCTCGTTTAAATCAGGAAGAAACGCATGAAGACAGAACAGTGAAAAAATGAATCTTGCGAAGCTTTTCAGATCAGATCTGCTGGAATGATATAAGAGTGAGTAGATGAGTAGGCCATCAGTGTCACATACTGTACTTTATCAGCTTTATTAGGAATATTCACGTTTCAATTACAAATCTGCTGCTTGTTCAGGACTTGATTTCATGTTCACCTTAACCTGAATTTACCGTACATTGACTTTGATGGCTTTAAACGGTGTTCCTGCCTGATTTACCAGAAACAAATTTAGTGTAGAATGGAAACAACGCATGCAGAAAACTGCTGGAGCATCAGAAACCACAGACCAGCAAAACCCAACAGGACCGAGAGAGAAACGGAGCACAGAAATGAGACACAAGCCAGTGAACCACAAGAGAAAAGACTTGTTAGATGTGACAGTATGCGGAAAATAAAGCCAGACCGTAAGTGCTTGTTTATTATGAAACTTTAAAGATTTGTTTTAGATTTGCTCCTGTTTTCTAAAGTGGCACGTTCAGACAGATACGTCAGACTTTTTGCCGTCACAGAGTAATGTTCACAGATCAGTGTAATTGTGTGTAAATGACAAGATGTGTTATTTGTAGACTCAAAGCATACAAACCCCATAAATCCAAAATGATGAGAATAATCTGATGTTTGTGGTTTCTAGTCTCTTGTGAAGACCTGAACATTATCCTTCATCATCACATCAGCTCCTGGACTCCTTCACAGACTCGTCTGAGCACAAACACACAGACTAACGAATGGCTTCTCTCTCAGATCTGTCTCAATGCTGCACTTTACTGACAACACTCTGCATGAACATTCGATCCTCTGCTTCTGCCGTGTTTTACTCCGTATTCTGCACTGCCTCACATATTTATGACTGCAACATTTTGCATTTCTAGTCTACATTTTAATTTAGTATTTATGTATATTTTTACATTCTTTTATATTTTAATATAGTTCCTAGATTCTATATATTTTTGTATAACTCTGTACTATTTTATATACATTTATTACTCATTCTTCCTCTCTATTCTAGATGCATGCAGAAAACAGTGGAAAACTAAATTTTGTATGTAGAGAGACAAAGACAAAGCTTGACTTTATATGAACAGAAATCTGCGGTTATATTTGAAGTGGCTCATTATATTTAATCTGGACGGTTTACAGATTTAGTTACGCCAAACTGAAATATTTTAAAATAAATAAAATTTGCTATATTTTCATATTTGTAAATCCTATAAATTATCACGCAAGTGATATTCACTTCATATTTAAGACAGCATTAAATTTGATAGTGTTTGGCCAGTGCTGGTGTTTGCTTTCACATACTTGTGTAATATTTTTCTGGCTTTTCTTCACATTTATACTGTAGTTCAGATGATTGAGTGCCTCAAATTACTGTACAGTCTCGGGGGGGCATTACCCTTTCAAACAGTAATAATATGCACACTTTAGATTCTAATTTGTACTTTTAAAATCCTAATATGTATGTTTAAGATACTAAAATATACCTTTTAGGGGTAAATAGATAAAGTAAAAGTGTATATTTTAGCTTTTGTACCTAAGGGTAACTAACGCCCCAGTGCCAGATTTGTTTCTTTTTCTGTAACTGTAAAAAATGTTCAATGCTGAAATAATATGCATTCTATTTGAATTAATATCTGCCTGTTGTTAATCAGGATCATAACCAAACATCGCACTAAAAATGATCGGTTATGCCGTGTTGGTATTATTTTGAAGGGTTTTTTGGGGAGTAATTTGACTCCTGTAGGTTTAGAAACGGAAAACAGCAATAGCTCATTCATATTCATCTAGCTGATGAGGAGGTTTCATATCAAGCAAATCTCCATAATCTACTACTAGAAGAATTTGCATAAAATCATAGATCAATCAGGAGTCTCATATAACACATTTTACTAGATCCTTAATATAAAGCTACTGAAAGGTGATGCCATTATTTCGGTTTTAGAGCATTTCAATGTGAGATTTAAATACAAACTACAAGTTGCCGTTAGAGAATACAGTTTGGTGTCATGTACAGCTTCATATTAAATATATTTGTGCCATCAGTGTCACCCATAAACCAGACGTCAGCTGTGCCTGTGACTGTGAGGAGAATCACCTGGTCGTGATTCATCTGATTGTTTAGGACAAAGAGCATGTTAAAGGTAATATGTTTTGATCTGCCGGTTTGTGTTAGACTCTCGTGGCCCTGTTCATTTACAGTACACACAATTTACATCATCAGTTTATTGATAGAGGCCTTCAACCTGAACTCTCTAAACCAGGCAACTAACTAACAAATACTACACAGCATACACTAGTGTCTATTCTTGGCTCATTATTTGGCAAGTTCTGCCATGTACACACAAAATTAGATTAAATTTTTTTACATCAGTAGTTCACTGAACTAGTGACAAATACTTGGTTTCTGTGTAGCTGCTTTGAAATGACATGAATAGTGACAAATGCTCTACAAATACAACGACATCAAGAATGTTTGCATCACATTGTTAGCATGATAAGCAGCTGAATGAGTCTAAAACTGACTGAACCAAAGAAATGAGAACAACTGTAAAACCTTGCATCAGATCAGTGTATGTATCATCATGCATTGCATTTAAATGTACAAATATTTGATCAGTTCTTGCACTCCCTGTTGTGGCTAGATCTATATTCTGCTGTTAGAGTTACAGAGACAGTAAGTACATCAGTAGTTCACTGAACTAGTGACAAATACTTGGTTTCTGTGTAGCTGCTTTGAAATGACATGAATAGTGACAAATGCTCTACAAATACAACGACATCAAGAATGTTTGCATCACATTGTTAGCATGATAAGCAGCTGAATGAGTCTAAAACTGACCGAACCAAAAAAAGTACTGTAAAACCTTGCATCAGATCAGTGTACGTATCATCATGCATTGCATTTAAATGTACAAATATTTGATCAGTTCTTGCACTCCCTGTTGTGGCTAGATCTATATTCTGCTGTTAGAGTTACAGAGACAGTAAGTACAGTTCAGACGAGCATAAGATGATTGTATTTTATACATGTACCCCACACATGTTTTTGGTGTAGGCTACTTAAATATGATGATCCTTTTGTGAAAAACCACCTTCCTAAAATATAAAGGCAGCTTTATACTGTCATGTTTATAGTATTTATATTTATACTGTTAAAAAATGAATTGTAAGTATGTGTAAAATATTATCTGTCTAATCACTGCTTTGAAGTTGACACTGTTTTCCACCATTAGAGTTACTGCTCGATGTATAAACCTGAAGATGTACATCTGAAATGTGATTAACATGATTCATTTCATGATTTCTGACCAGTTTTTAGTATTTTTTGTTTACTTTTTAACATGACTTTTCTGTGAAATGTATGTTTAACCTAGCAGCAGATGCCGGGTCCCTGAAACAGTTTGAAAACTCCTGGTTCAAGACACTAAGTGATTCTTGTGTAAACACACTGATTTTTTTTTTTTTTTTTTTTACACATTGAAATAAATGTAAGGTACAAAAATACATGAACAAAGCTTTGGAGCTAGACAGACAGAACTATAGACTATTTAACAGAAAACATGACAAATGCAGGCAAATCTGACAATGAAATGAGTTTACATTATAAGGGTAAATTAAAGGTTTAGTCAGAGCCAGACTAATGTGAGGCTAGGCAGGGCTAAAGCCCCAGGGCCCAAGGAAGGAGGGAGCCTGTGATTGGCTCTGGAGGAAAGGAGAAGTATAGGAACTAGTGCTATGAATGTTAAATGTGGGCCTGTTGGTTGCATCACTGATTGACAAGTCATGGTTGGTTTGTATCTAATTATACAATAAGACATGATTTGAATGTTTGTCTAACTGATATACTTCACTCTGCAATTAAAATCATGTGACAGTTTGTTTCATGACGTTGGAAAAAGCCTGTGTTATGTTTACACATGTCAAAAAATTTATGGTGAATATATGGAAATATAGATTAACATAGCTTTGTTCAAAAAAGTCAAGTCACCTTTATTTATATAACGCTTTTAACAATACAAATTGTGTCAAAGCAACTTTACAGTATTAAATAGGAAAATAGTGTCAATAATGCAAAATGAAAATAGTAAACACTCAATTTTCAGTTAAAAACAAAAAGTGAAAGTGTTGCACAAAAAAGCAATAATAAAATTGAAAAGAAAAACAGAGGTTGATCTTAGTGGAAAAATGTGACCCTGGAGCACAAAACCAGTCATAGGGGTCAATTTTTTGAAATTGAGATGTATGCATCATCTGAAAGCTGAATAAATGAGCTTAACATTGATGTATGGTTTGTTAGGATAGGACAATATTTGAAAATCTGGAATCTGAGGGTGCAAAAAAATCTAAATATTGAGAAAATCATCTTTAAAGTTGTTCAAATGAAGTTCTTAGCAATGCATATTACTAATCAAAAATTAAGTTGATATATTTACAGTAGGAAATTTACAAAATATCTTCATGGAACATGATCTTTACTTAATATCCTAATGATTTTTGGCATAAAAGAAAAATCAATAATTTTGACCCATAAGATGCATTTTTGGCTATTGCTACAAATATACCCCAGCGACTTAAGACTGCTTTTGTGCTCCAGGGTCACAAATGTCAAAACTGACTAGAAGTCCACCATCAGCTAAACACCATCAGCCATTCAGTTTTCCATTAAAATTACATTATATGCAATTAGCCATTACATTATGACCACCCCCAATCTAGAGCAATGAGCATGCCCGGCAACCAGTATACTGTAAATATAGTAAGAGCAGTATATATATGCAGTACCACCCAAGGACCAGCTTTCGGTCAGTAGTGTTTGGTGTCAGTATGGGAAAAGCTGCTGATTTATTGGAGTTAAAGGACAAATAGTGATGACACAGCACCTCGGAACTTCAATCTTGGAAACTGTGTGCCTTGTGGGTTGTTCACGTGCTACTGTAGTGAGTAGGCTATGTATCAAAAGTGGTGCACGGATGGCAAAACAACGAACCGTCATCCAGCCATGTGTCGTCCGCAGCTCGTTGATGCCAGATGGGGAGTGGAGATTGTCATGTATTGTTCACAGCGAGCGCAGGGCCACATTGTGACAAATTACCAGCAACTACAATGGTGACCCAGAGCACACAGTTCATCACAGCCTTCTGCATATGGGCCTGCGTAGCCGACAACCCAGCCAGGTCCCATGCTAACTGCACGCCATTGCCAACACTGCATGAAATGGGACCAAGAAGATCATGGAGATTGGACTGTGGATGATTGGAAGAAAGTGACCAGGGGGCTGTTTCATAAAAGACGCTAAGAAAAGCGGGGATTAAAGTCCAAAACCTGACTTGAAATAACCTAACGACTAAAGCGGTTTCATAAATGACAATTTAAGTTCACGCAATCTCACTAATTCAATCCAGGTTCAGGGAGTCAAGATCATTTGATGTGCACGCTTATTCTTAAGCAGCCCTTAAAGGGTTAGTTCACCCAAAAATGAAAATTAGCCCATAAATTACTCACCCTCAAGTCATCCTAGGTTCGCTACAGACGGCCTTTGTTCACCCCCCGGAGCCGTGTGAGACCCTTTTTTTTTTTTTTATGGATGGGCGCGGGAAGAGGTTTTAGGTTGGGGGTGCTGTACGCGCGGGGGGGGTGATAGAGGCCATTTACACTATATGAAAATAGCTGTATTTTTTTGTGATATCATATGCTATTTACACTAAGAGCAAATAGCTATAGATTCCATTTATACTATGGTAAAATAGCAGGATATTCTGCTAATTACTTATTGCAAATAGTGTCAATTATCTGCACCTCAGCATTGTAATACATTATAAAACAGTAGCAATAATA